ATTGTATTGTTTGTGCCACCATGCTTAGATAAATTATAATTTCCAGAATTCTTACCCAATTGAGTTTGTATAATTTTATCAACATTACCGATACAATCATGATAGAAATTATGACACAAATTATTGTACTCTGATCAATGCCGGACATATAGTTAAACTGGGCTTTACTACCAGGGTATATTCTATAAGCAATAAGACCTCGTTGCAAATAATTAATTATGTTTGTCGGATTGAAGTGTATGCCAGTCTTATTTCTAATGCGCCCGAAATTTGATTCAAACCTCGTTGTACTGATTGCGCCAATAATAAAATTGGGAATGTCCTTTCGCAACGCATTTACAATTTCACTAGGTTTGCTCATTTGTAATTGAATGCTACATTTGTAAAATGTAAATATATCAGTTTGCGTTAAATATACAGTATACAAATTAAAGTAAATAGTCTACCTGGTGCATTTGCTGCGCGCAAACAAGTAGAATAGTACCAACAATGGACCGCATACACGAGTATAGGGTGTATCCCTATTGCCATGGAAGGGCTCAACTGTTACAAATGGAACAGTTCGCATCGGCAGGAATTTAAATGTTGGTAAAATTGTGTTGCAAACAACTGATGCTGGTAATGTATTGTTGTCATGTTGGTGAAAATCAAGACAGTTTTTATTTACAAGCATATTTGCAAAAAATGGTAATATATTATATTTTTTAACACTTTAATAAATTATCTTATTAGAATGGAATTATTGACTTATTATATAAAAATAATTTTGTATGCTATAGATAATAGATATAATAATAATGATTTTATTTTTAAGAACTTGTCTCAAAAGCAATACATTGTATTACAAATAATCGTTTAACAATTTAATATATTTGTTATAATTGTTTTCGTTTCTTACAATTTTTGGTAAACTATTAAAATGTTTAATAATAATTGAATACGAATAATAGGTATTTTACAAAACGTAAACATATCTAGTATACAGTAGAGGTATTTAATTAATTAATCATCTCATATTAAAATCGTGTTGTCAATAATGAAATGAATAAAATTTACATTTGTTTAATACATTATTTAGCACAATAAATTAAATATACACATTATTTTATGATAACATTAATGAAATTAATTTATTTAGTTTTATAGTTTTTTGTGCAAAGTAAGTAAAATTTTTACAAATTGGATAATAAATTTAAATAATAATTATTGTAACTAATTTAGAAATAATAATAAATATAAAGATTAAAATAGGAGTTAAAATTTCTAAAATAAATATTAAAATGCAGACACATTTGCATAACAAATAGATAATAAATAAATCACTTATGTCGTCCAATTCAATCTGGCTAAATGTACATTGTGTATTGTTAGATGGAGTATGTACTAATATTCGTACATTAACATTTGTTAAATTCATCATGTTAGAATTCCACTTTTCTAATAAACCATAGGCTTGCGTATTTAAAATGCTATTGTAAATGAAAATTTATTATGAACAATTAACAATATTCAATTTTAAACAAGCTCACAATTCGTTTAACTCGTATAATAGTGATTTGTTTAACTTATCGGGAACTACCATAAAATACGGCTGCTTGTCTGACCCATATCTAGATATATGCATCTGATTTAAAAAGGTCGGATCACCATGGTCAAGAATGGTGTTATATCTTATGAGATGACCAATTATTGACCTAAGTCCATTTGAGTAGGCCATGTTACCGGTCGAAAGTCCTTGTATTGAAATTCCAGTGTAATATAAAATATCGTATATCACAAAATATAAAACTTACCCGTGTAAAATCTACGTTGAAATTCTTTATCGGTATAATTTGCATAAATGATCCAGCGCATTCTGGATTTAAAATCTATGGCCATTGGTTTATTATTATTTTTGGCATAATTACTTAGTGCACCCGATCTGGCCGCGTAAATATCAACACGTTTATTATTGTGTAGGTCAGCCCACGTGTCTATTACTGTATCAGGCAACTTAATGACTAATCTGTCCAGTATGAAATTACGGTATGTAATGGCAAGTACAAACCATGATAATAACCATGATAAAATTATTAGACGATTTGCAGTAGATTTATTGACTGTCAACGGGCGTGGTAATTGTGTTGTTTGTGCCACCATGCTAAGATAAATCATAATTTCTGAAATTTTTTTCCAATCGAGTTTGTATAATATTGTCAACATGGCAGATATAATCATGCTAAAAATTATGACACAACTTATTGTACTGTGGTCAATGCCGGACATATAGTTAAACTGAGTTTTACTACCAGGATATTTTCTATAAGCAATATGACCTCGTTGCAAATAATCAATTATGTTTGTCGGATTGAAGTGTATTCCAGTCTCATTTGTAACGCGTCCGAAATGTGATTCATACCTCGTTGTACTGATTGCGCCTATAATAAAATCAGGCATGTTCTTGCGCAACACATTTATAATTTCATTATGCTTGATGATTTGTAATTGAATGCTACATTTGTAAAATGCAAGTAAATTAATTTGGGTTAAATATACAGTATATAAATTAAAGTAAAATTTAGATAGTCTACCTAGCGCATTTGCTGCGTGCAAACAAGTAGAATAATACCAGCAATGGACCGCATACACGAGTATAGTGTGTATTGCCACGATAGCCAAAGTCAACTGTCACAAATGGAACAATTCGCATCGGCAGGAATTTAAATGTTGGTGAAATTGAATTGCATGTAACCAATGCTGGTGTATGTAATGTATTGTTGTGATGTCGGTAAAAATCAAGACAGTTTTTATTTACAAGCATAATTGTAAAAAATGTAAAATATTATATTTTTCTAACACTCAAATAAATTGTGATTAATATTAGAATTCTATTATTAACTTATTTTATAATTTTTTTTGTACTGTATATTATAGTTGTATATTATAGATATAAACGTAAAGTAGAGGTATTTAATTAATTAATCTCTTATTAGAATCCTGTTGTCAATAATAAAATGAATGTAATATTGATTTAAATAATTATATTGGGCAATTTACATAAAAAAATTTATGCGTTTATTTGGTTGATAAATAAACTTAATTAAAATATTATTATATATATTGATTATATAATTTAATATTTATAGAATAAATAACACTACTGTATATAATAATGTATATAATACACATAATATGTAATAATTATTTTGGTTCATGTAACTAACTAAGATAAATAAAACTACTAACTACCATAAATATATTTATATTTAGCAAAATCAATTAAAAAACTTATTATAGTTATTTGCCATTAATTGATAATAATAAAATTAGAAATAATAATATGTAAATTTTTTAATTACTTTAAGAATATTAGTCAAATAAGTTATTTTTCAAAATATATTTATTTTTATAAAAAATTTTGTTTACATATGTCGAGAGCTAAACTCCTCTGGAATATTCCATCGAGATATTTCTAATAGTTTTAGTCATTTTTACTGTAACTCACGTTTTTAAGCTGTAATCATTTTATAAATCTCAATGTCAGGGATTGTCTCTTACTCGGAGTCAATCCCTTCCTGTTCTCAATAACCTTCACTACTGTATTTAAGAGGCAGACTGTGCTCTCAACCTGGCAGTTCTCCCAATGATTTAAACAATGAAACAATAAAAAGTTATTTGATATCAAAAACCCCAATGTGTTTTTGCTATCACCACCCAGTCTTGGGCCGCTGATGATAATCCCGGCGGTCAGGGACACAACACTACCTTTTGGTTCGCACCACGCGTTCAGGAAGGCTTTCGCTATTTTCCCCTCTTGGGTCACAGAGTGACCAGGGAGGCTTTCGCCACTTTACCTCTTGGTTTGCAATACGCAAACAGGGAGGCTTTCGCCGAGAACTCAACCTATTATAAGTAACCGTTGTTCACGATTAGCACTGAAAATCGTCCCCAACTCCCACTCGCGGGTCTACAACACGAGCTACACAACCCCCAAGATATCTGCCCGCGATACATATGTATAATGTACAAAATAATTTAAATATATTTATATTATAAAATGGTTAAGTTTATTTATAAAAAATAATGCAACCTCCAAAATAACATTTTGTTAATAGTAAAAAACAAACTTTAAAATTAAATTCATAATTATATTTTTGTAAATATTTATACATATTAAAAATAATGCATATTAATGATTAACAGGGTAACAGCTGGTATTATAAATGACATTACCTGTTTATTTCTACGCAAAATTTAAAAATAATTATCATATGTTATTATAAATTATTAAATATATTCATCATTACACAATATTTTAAAGAATTATTTATTTAATCAATATGTTTGGTGGATCATTAAGCATAATTATAATAATATGTATGTGCATTACCTTAATTGTGTCAGATATAGTATTGGATAAAAGTAAGAGTGAATTTAATTAAATATATTTAAAATAGTACAATTGAATGTTGCTCGTTTATGCTTTAGATGATTCAAAAGCATCTCAACCAAACATGGCTACAAGCAATCAGGTAAAATAATTTATTTTTGTATATAAATTTACTATTTTAAGGTAACTATTTTATATATTATAAACTATACAATATAGACAACACCAGAACCTACCCCAACTATAATCGCCACCTTGGTCACTGTAGAATACAAACACAATGTTAACACTAGCAACGAAAAAAGGGTCTAAACACTCAATGTTGCCATGATTGTTTTGTAATAGTAATTATTAAACATATATTTTTAAAATACTACAAATTATTGTAAAATAAATGACATGCAAGTGCATAAGAAATAATTAAAAAGCTTTTGACCATAGTTGTTAAAATTTCGTTGATGATGCTTTATTAAACTATTGTCTCAAGTTTAGGATTATCATCAGCGTAGTATTTAGCCACGATGGCCGCAACAAAACAATCGCCAAGCACATTTGCACATGTCCGAATACGACCACTGCAATTAAATGAAATTATTTATGTTAAAACAAATTCAATTAAGTTTAGCCTAAATTAAACGTACACGAGCAAATCACCCACAGACACATAAACGAGCACATCTAACGGATTCTCAATACCCAGTGCCGCACAAAATGACGCAAATATTATAATAACAGCACCGCCGGAACCAATGGCCGGTATGGCCACAGACATTACCAGGGTCATAAATCTGACAATTAAGATAATTATAATCTAGTGCAATTTATTATAAAATTAGTTTGTATTTAATCTTACATAAGAACAATCATGTGTTGAACGCCAACGTCAACAAGGTGCATTTGGGCGACAAACAGCACAACCATGGGGTAATACATAGCCATACCATTCATGTGCACATTGACTCCCAGTGGTAATACAAACCTGGTCACTCTCTCGGGTAGTTTAACGTTATCCTCCATTGTTTTTATTGTCACCGGAAGTGTTACTGCGCTAAATATATTTAATAATAACATGATTATTTGCACCAAAATAATATGATAAAATAGACATTACCTCGAATCAGTACCAAAAGCCACTATAATAACAGGCATTAGGTCGATGAAAAATTTAACAGGGTTTTTACGTACAAAAATTAAATAAACCCCAGAGTGTATGATAAACAACAGGATAGAAAATCCAATCATCGTGGTTATGCTGAACCACACGAGTTGCGAGATTAGCCGATCGGGTATACGAAACTGTATGCCCGCCAATACCATCCAGTAAACAAGTGCCATTGGTATTAATCTAGGTGCAAATTATTTGTGATTTTATAAGTTAAAACAATTATTCTAGTTAAATAAATGTTTACTTCATTAGCAGTTGAATTATTTTCAATATGATTAATTGAGTTTCGTGTAAAAATTGGCGTGCGCCCGGTACCTGATCGCCCAGGCACAAAATAGCCACGCCCAACATTGTGGCAAAAACGCATAGGCCCATAAAATTGACCGTGAATTGATTTTTGATCACCGGTTTGTACCCAAGCGTTATATTGTTTGGGTCTTTTGCTTCTAACCCGGTGTACGTTTGCATAAACATCGCGCCCACAATATTGTTCGGGAACAGATTACTGAAGGTAATAAAAATAAATTAATTTATATTAACAAGCATAAACTCAAGCACTAGCACTACAGTTACACTACTTTAGTATATAAAGTAATTTACAATTATTAAAACAAAACTCTTATACTAACATTATAAAATCGTACAAGGTATCCTCCTTACTGACCATGCCCTGTTTAATCATAGCTGCGTATGGGTTAAATGGTCGGTTAGTATTGCTTTGCCAATCGGCCAATTCTTCGGCAGTTTGCACTCCGGGTCGCATAATAAACATAAGACTTGTGCCCAATATGGGTGACAGCGATGAAAATGTGATAAACAGGGCAAATGTCATGATCATTAATTTCCTA